AGTCGAGTCTGTGAAAGATGTAGTTAGCGAAAACTGGGAAATCTTGGAAAAATACTCTTCTTCTTTTGTAGTCTTTCTACTTTTGATTTCTTACATTTTCTATGTGTGTTTGTGATTTGTATTTGATTGATAATATGGTACTTCTTTATTAGTTCGCAGTTAAAGGGGCTAAATATTCGTATTAACGACTTGAAGATGCACTTTTCCATTTTGCTTTAATTCCAGAGCGATGAACCGATACAGCTCTAGTATTTAATGAAATTTAGCAATATTAAATCAATAAGGAAAGATATCCTCATCTAATGTTTGAATAGGAAAAAAAATCATGTGGAATACTGAAATGTTGAGAAAGAAGGTGCAATATTTACAAAAGAAGAAATCTTTTTATCAATTAATATAGTCAGTAACAGCTGCAATTTCACCCAATTAAAATCTGTAGAAAAATCTATATTTTACACAGTTGTCACCTTAAAAATGAAAAGAAAAGCTGTTGAAAAATTATGTGAACCTGACATCAGAAACGAATTCTCTATTTCGCTGGTTCGTATTACTAAGTCCGTTAATGATCATTTCTGCGCAAGTTCTGGCAACAATATTTACCCCTATTCAGACTGGGCTTTTTTCGTCAATCTGTGACTGGGGGGAGGGCTCCTCGGACCCCCCCTCTGTATCTCCGGAACCAATAATGCTAGGGTCATGAAATTTACACACAATGATCATCTCCGTACAAAAAAGCCCCACACCCAGTTTTGACTTGCCACGCCCAATGATGACGTCACAGTGACGTCATATTCCGATTTTTCAATGTTTCTTATTATTTTTCCACTTAGATACGTAAAATATCAATAATATTGGTAAAGTCATCTCTTTGTTATCCTTTCTTATGAACTAGTAACAAGGAAACACTTGTACAGCGAGAAAAAGCAATAGGAAGCAATAAAATTTAAAATTTGAAATGGTTGTCCGCCATCTTGGATTTCCGTTTTTTTGTTAAAATTATAATTTAAAGCAACTTTCAAAGGGGAAAAAGCTCAGAATGTATAAAAGAAGTATCAAACTAATGTTTATTACCCAAACAAATGACTTTGGAAGTGTTATTTGGAAAATAGAGCAGCTTATTTGTCAAAGCAAAAAAGTGGCAAATTTTACCCCACCCCTCCCCCCCCAAATATTCGATGTTGAAACATTTTCATGTAATTCAAAAACTAGTCCCAAGCAAAGACCATTTTAACAACAAAAAGCACTATAAGTGTAAAAACGCGATCTTAAAACAAAAAAATCACCATTTTTTAAATTTTCGAAAACCTATGTGTCAGAAACTGGTTGCCGTGGCAACATCATTAATCACATGGACATGGTAATTATACCAAAATGTTCCTAGATAAGTTTTAGGAAAAGTCAGAAAATTTGAACGTCATAGCTCTTTCGGTGTAGGAGTTATCACGATTTTGCCGGAGGGGGGGTTCGAAAAGCCCCCCCAGTCTGAATAGGGTTAAGAAATACATTCCTAACTGCTTCTTTTCCTACGCTTACTGATACTTATAAGAAGCAATCAAAGTTTCATCAGGCGCTCGAATCAATCATGGTGATAAAAGTTTGATTAACTGAATATGATCAACAAAACTACTGAGGTCTAATTCGTATGTTACTGGTTTCATCCGGATATTTGTCGCAAACATTTTTTTTCCGCAAAAAAAGCTGTAACGAAATTAAAACAAGGTTATAGGTGTTATATTCCTATAGTTCCGAATCTAACTTTGGAGTAAAGTAAATCTGGAATAAATTATTTCATAAAGAGCTGACCGAGAGAAAATTATTTTTCTGTCATAGCCATCGAGTACATCAACTTAATTTCAATCAGTATAATAATTCGCTACTGAAAAGATATCACACTATCAAAAGAATTTTTTAAGTCAATTCGTCAGGTCGTTAAGAAACTAGAAGCTCTCTGTAAGAGAGGTAGCTCACTTTGGTTCGAATTTCTCAAAGCAATTAGATTAGATGACGCGTGCACGCAAACGAAAACTCAGAGATAATAAAATTGTCTGAAACTTATTTTAGAAAACCTAGTTGAAGAACATATATAAGAAAATTTCTAGTTCTCTTTTGTCTGTGTCTAACAAAGCAAGCAAGAGAAGAAAAGAAAGAAATATGTGTACATGAACCAAGCCCAAACTGAAGAAAAGACGCTCTATTAGGCCAATTATTGAATGAAATCCTTAAGCCAGTAGGCAGACAAAATGTTGTAAAAATAGTTAGTCAAATTTCATTGAAACTTTTGAGCCCGTGTAATACAAGAATCGAGTGACTAACTAAACCAAAAACCAGTTAGCCAAATCTGAAAATCTAAAAGAGGTCCATTAAGGCTTCTATTCTTGCGGGTTATTTTTATTCAGTTAATTTCAATAAATCCTAAGTATGACGAAAGAAACCGAATTAGAGAAAAACTGCTCCTGATTTCAATGGTTTCGTTTAAAGTTGTTGATCAGTGCAGAGTAACTAAATATTTCGAGAACTACAGTAGCCTCTCTCTTCTTCTTTCCACTGCTAACTTTCTTAAGCTTTTATTTGGGTTTCTTGGATACATTTTAAAACATCTTTTGAAGAATAAAATTTTTAAACTGAAAGCCTATTGAAGATTTTTTTTCTCAAAAATGTTCGAGAAACAATTTTGTATTTCGCACGACAAGGATGTAAATTGCATAATTATGTACTGTAGTTTATAACTAGTGACCAGTGAATTAAAAGGGGAAATTAACAAGATACTTATCCATCCTCCAGGCCTGCGAATAGTTATCATTCAAGCGAACAAGACAGACACACTCTTAGAAAATTGTACATCTGAAAGGAAGAAATATAACACAATATTAGCTGACAGTTACAACTGAGATTGCTACTAAAATTTTTGATTGGTACACGGAGATGTATAGAGGTATTTACCTGTATTTCATTATTGCCAATCAAAGTAGACGTCATTCGTATGAAAAAGCTCTACAGCTCTGAGATGAATTCTAGTACATACTTCTGTTAGCCTGAAAAAACCCAGAAATGCATCTTAGCACAAAGTCTCCATTGAATAGGACTCAGTCCCTCAAAGGCCGAAAGTCACTAAGTATGTACTTCCTCAACCCCAGTCTTCCAACTAAACACACACCCCTTATTACATCTACGTCCCCAGGGAATTACGAAAATCCTCCGAGAATTAATCCGATATAGAAAAGTGTCAATCAAAAATCTACAGTTCGTAATCTATTGTAGCTTTGCAGTTTTTATCAGATTCCCAGGACCCTTAGCTTGGGGAAGGACCGCAATCCATGTGAAGTGCCATTTAACTGGGCCATTGCGCGCCCACGCTTTTCAAATTTCTATATTTTGAAATTTGTAGAATCTAAAATGGCGTTTAAATTTTTATTTTCGATTTTGACCCTTACAGGAGTTATTTTAAGGTTATATTTTATTTGATATTGTGATTTGTGAGGTGAATAACAGAAGAACAAAACACCAGCCAAACTGTCGCAAAATCCATAAAGAAAACTTGCATGATCCGAGTAACATAATTTGTCACCCAGGGTGAATGAAAAAAAAAAAAAGAAAAAAAACAGAGCAGGAAAACAAATTTCTAGATATCTGAAAGTTCTTTCTTCAGTATACGAAGTTCTGTATCTCACTATTATAGAACTCTAGACTGAAAGTGTTACGAAAAATTAAGCATCTGTTCACTTAATTATCCCGAGACTGCACGGAAAATAAATTGCTATTATGGTAATAATAAAGCAGTAAATGAATAAATAAATAAACATAAACATAAATCATGGCATGCAGACATAAAAAAAATGAAACTGAATTAGTTAATTTAGGTAGCTTAGTAGTCTATCGTGTCGTAGCTTGGTGAAAAGATGCTTTCACTTGCCTCGAAGTTCTTGCTTATTGTTATAAGGCTATAACGGCCTGAATAAATCTTTTTACTTTACCCAAGAAATTAAATGTGTTTAACCTTTTTGGTAATCTACCTTATTTGATTCAACCACCAGTTATTTCAAGTTTTATCCCCTAAGGTCTAATAAACTGGCCAGGTATTGCGAGCTAGCAATCCGAGTGGCATCAAAATGTATATTTGATTAGAATATCCTGAGAACATATCTCTATGTAGCATTGTATTTATATATATGAAAAAAAAAACAATATCAATCCCAGCAAGGACTTAGTAGATGTATTTGTAAGCTATCCAGCATGAAAAGAAAATTGTTTTAAGTCTTATGTATAAAGCCAAATTAATTGAGTGGCACGTTTTTAATTTCTGATTTCGTTTTCATTGAATAATATCTTTGTTTTCTCAACAAAAGTTAGTCAGATAAATATATATTTTTGGCTGCTTTGTGATTGTTAGAAGACTGAATAAGGACCAATTAATGCCAGTTTCTATTTCGCTGGAGTTCTAGGTAAAATACTAAAGATATACAATTGCTTTTGATGAACGCAACGCGAATTTTGCACTAATATTAAAGCAATAAACTGATCAATTGAAAAGAATCGCAAACATTCCGTAACATAGTCTCAAAATGGCTATGACCTCCTTCACATGGTTTGCTTGGGGACCCACCCTTATGGATCTTGTAGAATTGTTCCTATATACAAGAAAAATCGAATTCACCCATGAAGCTCCAAGGAACAATTTATGTCCTTGCTTTCTGGGTGTTTGAAGCCCTCCTCCTACCCTCTACCAAGAGTAATACACTTGAGTTCGTTTTTTTTATTTTCCCATAAAGATAAAAGGACTAATTTTTTGCCCCTACTTTTTGGGTGTTTGAAGCCCTTCCTCCTCCCCTCTTCCAATCGAAATACACTTGTGTTTGTTTTTAATATCCCCATGAAGATGAAAGGAAGAATCTCTGTCCCCTCAACGAAAAATAGCTTCACAATCAGTTCTCCCAGAAACATTGAGTGGGAGCTAAAAATGAACGATTTAATCACCCTTGGGAGAGAGGAAGGTGAATGAAAGGTTAACAAATACTTATCTCCACACTCGTCCGTTTCCTGGTGAAAAGAGACAACTCTTCTATAATGACAGTCAGGACTCCTGCAGGACTGGCAGCTCTTAAGCGATCAACAGGTGACCCTGGATGGTCCAGTCTTCTGTGTCCCAAGCGCACAATCTAACGAAAAAAAAAGATCAATGATCCTCTCAATTAGCATATACAGTAACAGAATATAAATAAGTGAGTAAATATGAATTATCAATATACTACCCTTAACGAATTTGTCGTTATATGTCAGTTAAAGAGGTGCTTTGAACAGCAGATTGGTCAACATAATTGTTCGGTAGTTTTCTCAGCTAAGTTTATAGATGCGGGCCGACCCGATTACGTTGGACTTGATTTAAATGATCGACAAATATGGCTCAAAAAATATCAAAGTTCGTATCTTTTGAACCCAAAATTGTGAAAATTGTACTGCTGTCACTTAAGAGCTGGATTCACGAAAGCATACTGGCGGTGAATAAAGCTTTTTCCTATGCAGTATATTCTCTTTGCTAAGATCAAAGTGAACAAGGCTTGCAATCATGTAAGATTTTAATGCTTGTAACGCGCAGTTCTTCTAGCTTTGAACCAACTTCTTAATTTCAATTTGGCGAATTTTTGTTTATTTTATGTCCTTTTCCAGTTACAATTTAGCTTTAATGGCTTGTTGTCACAGAGGTCTCCAGTTGCAAGGCACTAAGTCAATGAGCTCAGTAACAGACCTTCTTAGCTCTTGTTAATTTTGTATTCCCGATGCAGGTCAACTGATAATACGCCAGAAAACTGTTTGTTTCAAATTTCTCCATATTCACGAGCATATGTATGAATAATTTATTAAAAGACCCTTAGGGCAAATTCCCCTGGGACCTTCATTAGGAAAACAAAATATACGTGCTAAAGAGGTCTATAGATGGAGCGATGCAAAGAAATACCGTTAAGCCAAACCGCAGCCGAGCGCGAAAAAATGCTTGCGAAACGAAATTTCATGTATTTTTTGATAGTTTAAAATCGCCAACATTCAACGAAATGTCGGCGAAAGAGTAGACAACTGGACGAAATTCTGCGAATTTTGTCCTCAAGTCTTTTTCACAGTACTGTGGGTATGCATGTAAATATCCTAAGTTAAGCCTACTTTAGAGTAGACATAAGGATATTTAATTTGCAAATAGGACATGTCTAAAATAATGTCCTAATGTTCCTAAGTTATATCTCAGGATATATCTTAGGCAGATTCAGTCTTATTAATGGGTTAGCCTATTTATATCTTTTGCTGAGTATTTGCTATCTTTATTGTACTTTCCGCTGTTTTTCCTAAATTTCGCTTGTTTTCTTGCTCAAAAAGCTAGATTGGTAGCTCTGTTATGTTGTTACAGCGACTTCGAAAGCCATTGAGACTAATGATCCATCTCGCCCTTGAAAAATTCCATATGCCAAGGAGTGAATTCTAAAAAAGTCATTTGCCTAGTGAATTTTGTTTATGAACGGAGTTCTTATAATAAATGAAAAATTAACAGCTATAATTGATCAAAGAAAAGTCGTGAAATATTAAATGAAAATCTGTAAGTTTTGTTGGTATCGTTTGAACAAAGTTAAAGAAGTAATAATTAAAGCAGAAAACTAAGTGACCCCGACGACAGAAATTCCGGCAACAAACAGTAATCAATTATCCAAAATAACAAAAGACCACAAAAGACGCATATAAGCAAGATTAAACTTTATTGTGCTTTCTTGCATGCAGCGCATCGTCGCAATAAAATATAAAAAATGCGGTATTTATGCCGCATTTTTGCTGATCATTTGAATCAAGCCCAGAGTAACGTATCATTAGGCCATAGGGTTTCAAATAGTGTCTCCGGCTAAGCCAAAAAAAACTATCGAATGAATGTTGACCAATTTTTGCCCAAATTTGTAGGACTTCACAAAACCTCCCAGCCTTATTAAGAGTTCATGAGACACAATTACTCCATTATACTAAATATCAATCCTACTGGATTTTTCTTGCAAACATTTTAGCTGAAATGATTTCAAATTTATACGATCATAGCATGCGAGTTATTTGATCTTTTTCAAAAGTAGAAAGTAGCGCTTCTGAGAGAAACAATATTCAATTGGGAAAAGAAAATAAACTGAGATTATATAAACTCAAATCTTTTGTTTAATGCCAACACATCGAATGTTTTTAGAAACAGCCCAGATAAAATTCACCAATTAATTTCATTTTCTTTTTTTTTCAAAGCAAATACGGCTATTTTCGTCATCCTTAGTTGTAAAAACAACTTAATAGTCTATAATATTAAATACACTTATCTGTCGGCCTTCCGTTCGCTTGTCGGAATGGACTTTCCAAGGACTCTGTACGTGCATTGTTGAACTGAAGGGAACGAAAGTTCGTTGGACGCGCCATCGGTCTTCAGATTTCTGTGTGACAAAACAAAAGAGATTAGGGGAGTAATTTATTTCCTTGGTGCGTTTAGTCTTCACAGGTTTTCCTGGCTGTTTCTTATGCATAATGTTTCCTCAAAGTTCGCAAATTTTCATTCACCGACGCCGACAAAGGGGGACAAATTATCGTTATTTTTAGACAAATGTCTTCCGTTTCATTCGTACTTTTCAATTGTAAAATGAGATTTTAATCAACATCAGATCCGCGCTATAGAATAATTTTGAGACCATCATAATCGGTCAACAAAAATTTAAATTATTTTCAAAAACGTTACTAAGTATGAATTGTCCATTTCAATTAAAACTGGAAGGACACTGAAAGCTAGTTTAGGTTACAATCAGTACACGTTGATACTTTTCCGCCACAAAAAATGATATCGATTTCTCGGAGATTAAGAAACAGATTCTAACTAAGAAAACGGTGAAGTTAAAACTTTTGATTACCTGACATAAACAGAGACTGGCTGAAGGATCCCACGCCAAAGTCTTCGAGGCATTCTCTTTCAGAGAAGAAGCTGCAGGGAACTGTTGGTAGAAGGCGAAAAAGTTAGCTTGTCTACTGAATACTATTGAGTCAGTTTGTATTTGCTCTAAACCTATCCAAATTGTATCCTAAAAAAAATGAAATAAACGGAGCAGCAACTCAAGTTTACTTCTAAACGACACATCGTGGGATGTAAGAGTTTGGCCAAGAACTTCAGTCAACACGCGTCGCTTTTACTTTATAACACGTTTTCAGTTATAGAGACAGGCTCTGATGTATAAACCTCTGAACGAAATGACATATTAAGAGAACAAACCTGTTATCGTCTTGACTAATGTAGCAAAAATTAATCCAAAAGAGGCAACACTACAGCATTCAGCCTTCCAGTCACTACTTTCAATTCTAAATACTGGGTGTGTTCCTTCGTTTTATACCCTCTGGTATAAACGCGGACTAAATTTATTCAGCGCAGTCGAGAAATACTTTTTACAGAGCTGAAAAAACAAAAGGAAGTGTTACTTTATGACTGTTCCGATAAATATGTAAAACCCCACCTTACAACCTGTTGTTTTCGGCTTGTCGGAATTTCATGCAATGTTTTGTACAATGTAATCAAGCGAGCTCCTTACCAACCTTAGTTTTCATGGTATTACCAAGAGAACAGTGTTTTTGCTGTCTAGATTGCGGTGGCGGCCTTTCCTAGTTTTGTGATGCTTGCTTCATTCATCTGAATTACGGATGACCTGAGTACAAATGATACTACTTGTACTCTTGTAGAAATTTCCTTTTCTTTTTTCCTGTATGACATAGCGAGGGCAAAACAAGACGCATTTTATTGAGGTTTGAACAAAAACGCCTTTACCCGTTGATGATCATGAATCGTATAATTGTCACATTTGGGGAAAATGCCAACATGAGGTGAGAGAAGATTATCATCATTTGTTTCCTAGCTTGTCATTGGTGTCGGTATTAAACACAACAAAAACAACAACAAGTTATTTCAGTATTACCATTTCTATACATGGTGTTACTGAGTAAGTTTGAATGACTTAAGTTCTATTTTCAGAGCAGAGGTAATTTGGGAAATATCAATATAGTCATCATGTTTCACAGATATCAACAAGGAAAGACTGGAGTTTGGTTTTGAAGCGTTTCTTGAAAAAGCTCTCTTTTGGATATCTAGCCTAGATTTCTTAATATAGAGGTTATTTGACGAGGAAGACCGAGTGTTATAAGAATGAATACTAGGGTTGCGTTCGATTGGGAAATTCGGATTTCGGATTTTGCAATCGAACGCGAAATCCGAAAACGGATTTCACCTCCGAGAAATCCGTCCTCATGGTGGATTTCAATTAAGAAATCCAAATCCAGATTTCATGGATTTCCTTTTTACCGTTCGATTGGGAAATCTGAAAAAGGATTTGCAAAACTGTTCTCGTCAACAGCGGTGTTCTCTTTGTTAATTCTTTTTCTTGCGTGCCGTTAAGTGCTTTCTTTACGCATCCTTTACGGCAGCTTTTCTAGTTCAACTTTACGCGCCTTTATGATAGTGTAAACTTGCGTAAAGCTTTGCCTTCGAACTTTACGGAACTTTAAGGAATCACGCCAGGTAAAGTTCGTAAATTTCATTTTTCGTGCTCTATTTTTCTAATCCTTTTTCCGATTTCCCGGAAAATCCAAAAAGAGATGTCTCAGCATGATGTCCGCGTTGAAATCCGTTTTCGGATTTCGCGTTCGATTGCAAATCCGAAAACGGATTTTAAAATCTAAATCCAGATTTCCCGATCGAACGCACCCTAGTAGTATCGCAGAATAGACCTTGTCACGGTTTTTGACGCCATCTTGACGAGTAGGCAAACGCGTGAGAAATTACAGTGTTTGTATGAGAATCTAACGTCGAATAATTTCCGTAGAACGGCTGTTCTGAAAAAAAAAAAATAAGAATTGTAAACTAAAGCTTCACTCCTAAGGATTCTATTGAAAATAATTGAGAGCGATAGCAAAACTGAACACTTCAAGTCCCTAACAGAAAAATGATCACTCTTCAGCTATTGCTGACCATATCACTGCCACCGGACATAACATTAACTTGGATCACTTTGAAATCTTAGCATCTGGCAAAACAGATTATCATTGTAAGATAAAAGAAACTTTGTTTATTCAAGACCTTATACTACTACATGAGAAATTACTGCAATTTGACTGGCTTAGAGCAGTGGTATTTCAGCTTAATTTGTAATACCTATACATGTGAAAATTACAAACCTTTTGTGGGTAGTAGTATAAACAAATAATAGCATGATTTGTACGTGATATTTGGCATGAATACCACTCGTGATATTTCAAAATTGTCTCAATTTTCACTCGCCTAACGGCTCGTGAAATATAACAATTTCGAAATATCACTCGTGGTATTTATGCCAAATATCACTACAAATCATGCTATTACCTATACTAATAAGCCAGCCTTCAATGTCAACATCAGCAGTGAAAAGTTGATGCTTGATTAGCTGTTGCCTTTTGTATTCTTTACAGTTAAGAATTGTTAAATTCTTAATCTCATTTTCAGACCCCTTGTAATAGACCTTGTCACGGTTTTCGACGCCATCTTGACGAGTAGGCAAACGCATGAGAAATTACAGTGTTTGTATGAGAATCTAATGTCGAATAATTTCCATAAAACGGCCGTTCTGAACAAAATATCAATTGTAAACGAAAGCAACAAAGCAAAGAATTGTCCTAAAAAATTTGGGGGGCGTACCCGTGATAGAATTTCTCCAGAGGCTTGCTTTAGATTTTCCATATATTTGTCTGTAATTTTCCGGGGACTTTCCAACAGACAAATGTATAGGAAATTTAAAAAAGTGGTTCTAGGTCGTCTAGTGCATGCAACGCTCTCAAATTTTTTCAAGAGAATCCTTAGGAGTGAAGCTTTAGTTTACAAATCGTATTTTTTTCAGAACAGTCGTTCTACGGAAATTATTCGACATTAGATTCTCATACAATCACTGTAATTTCTGACGCGTTTGCCTACTCGTCAAGATGGCGTCGAAAACCTTGACAGGGTCTATTTTGGAATTTATAGTCTCGTCATTTTCTTTTACGGTCACTTAAGATCACTTTTGAAAATGTATGTTGAAAAGCATACGAAACGTCAAGTTTATAAAAATACGAAAACTCACGATGATTATTAACGCTGTTTTTGTTTTATTTTTGATAAATTATGGCTTTTGTTTCGAGCAAGTCTATACTCCCGCTATACACTTTTTTGCAAGTGGTGGGGGGTTAATTTACTTAGTCCTCGATAAAGGAAAACTACTGCGAGAGACTGAACTGACACCAGTTTCCTTGTATATTAGAAGCGCAGCCAGGACAATTTCAAGGGCGTCTTACTTTTTTATTTGATTTCTCATGACTCCAGACAGAATATGATTATTTAAAGCACAGATCACTGCTGCTTCTTGAAATGTTGTCTTATGATTATTACGTTATTATTATCATTATTATTATTATCTTTATTGTTTTTATCTTTATCTTTAACGTTATCATCATCATCATCATTATCATCACTATACTATTTTCACTTGAGACTGGTCAGCTTCTGAATTTTACAATACTGCCACAGCACATCCTGAAATTAGAATCGTAAGCTTGGGTCCCGCAACACGCGGGTCTTATTCCCGACCTGAATTGTACAGTGCCACCAAAGCAGATCCTGAAACTAGCATCGTAAGCTTGGGTCCCGCAACACGCGGGTCTGATTCCCGACCTGACTTGTATTGTACCGCCACAGCACATACGAAATGTCGGGTTGTAAGTTGTTCCTCCACATCTAGCGCTAATAAATCGACGTTGCCTGCTTTCTGTTGTCATGTGATCTAGTGGCGAATAAAACAAAGACGACTTAAGTCCCAGGCCATAGCAAAACGTGAAGAAAATGCATACTCGAGAAAAGAGCTAGGTAAAAGAAGAATTTCGTACCAGTATCGTACTCGTGATGGTGCGTTAAAGCTTGTATTTTTCTAAAGAGAAACTGAATTAATTAAGCACCGTGAACTAACCTTGATCCTCTTTCGAACCATCGTAATCTTTGAAGCTATCATCTTGGAATTCAGCATCCTCCTCATGAGGGTCTTCACTACGGCTTCTTTGGTCCTTTAAATTTCCATATTTGAAATCTGTCAGCGAATCTAGTTCTTCCGGCAGTAAGTTCCCAGCATAGCTGCCGCAAAAACACAAGACTACAGCCGCAATAAATGCAAATGCTAGCTTGACCATTGTTGGTATACTGAATATGCCCTCCTCTGATTCTCAGTCACTGACTGCTTCACTCCCTCGAACATTCTGATGCTTTTGTAGTGTTTTGTGTTGTCTTTAAACTTGAGTAGCCTGTTCCAGGCTCCGAGATAGTCGGGTCCGCCTCTCTTTTCGCGTACCTTTCACTTTCGCGTCTTCCCCACTTTTTGAGAACCTGAAACAGGATAGAACTTGAGTTATTGAAGTGATTTTTCTGATTGTTGTCACTAATTTGGATTGTTTGTCAACAGGTTCAGTTTTTCCTTGATATAAGGAAGCTTGAAAAGCACGTTATATGATCACTCATATGTTTGGAACCTGTCCCACGGCTCGAGAAAGTGAAACATCGAGATCTATCATTCGTAAAAATTTATTACGTCAAAATGTCCACTTTTGACACATTCATTTAACTCACTTTCATTTCATTTCACTCGCTTGATGTCTAATGGAAAGGAAAATGTAATTTTAATAAACCAACGATAAAATTTATCCGAGGCTTGGAGGAATAAAACATAAGAAAATAATGTATAATTCATTGCTGAGCCTCGAGAAATTTCTTTAATTTGTTTTATTCGCACAAGCCTAGGAGCGAAGTACGAAGTTTAATATATCAAAATTGAAATAATTTTTGCGTTTACTTTTAAGATTTCTGATCGTGTCAATGTTCTGAGAACTTAAAATTCTTTCAGATAGAACTTCCCTGTTCGGCTTCTTCTTTTGGGAACTACTATGATGTTGTCTAAAACAATATTGAAACCTCTATCTTGAAGATTAACAACCACAGCTTTTCGGGCCCGTTAATTATCGGGAGTTTCTAGAAACGCCCCCCTGAGTCGCTGAGGGCTGAGTATCGTGAAGCACTTGATAATAACAAACAAGCAAAACAAAACCAAAAGCAATGGGCTAAATTCAGGGAAAGTCTCACTTTCTCAGAAGAGTCTTTGAGCTGACTGCACTTTAAAAGTAAAGGCCACGACCAGCTTTGTTCGTTAAGCAAAAATGGCAACAACCCATAGTAGAAGTCATTTAAATAATTTATTGATACAAGACAATGACTAGTACCCAATCCCTTATCACGACAGGTTCCTTTTGTCAGATCTTTCCTTTACAATTTCTTAAAGGCCCATGTTCACCCTAGATGCATTGCGCGCCCTGTACTCCAGGAAAAACATTTCGCGTAGTTGAAAATCGCTGCCTTCAATGTGTAAAGTCAATCTTTGTTAATCTTCCACAGTTCGCTAAATCTGGTTTAAAAGAGAGTCTAAACAGGTTCTTTTAGTATTTTTCTTTACATCTTTTTGGATATTTTGGTGTGGTATCGAGCCTTTTTCTTTCTGTGAGTGTTTGTTTTCACTGCAGCACTTTCGATGGCGGCGCCATTGAAACGTACGGTTGGAAGTCCGCGTCGACGGGCATCGCCGAAGTACATTCGCCTCCGTGAATTCGTTTTTTAAATCTCTGGAGAGATGGGGAAAAAGCTCTTGGCTGTAAATTCTACAGACAGCGTGTTTGCCGAGTTCCTTCTACGTCGAATGTTGATGTTCAATTGTAAGCAAACTGAGGTCCCGATGAAATCAGTTGAAAGCAAAACAAGCGAGTCAATCTAACATGAACAATGCTTTATTTAATTTAACCTATGAAGCGAGTGATAAGTGTAACACAGCGATTACAGCGACAAGACTGTACGCAGTGCTGATTCGACGCTTTGTAAACACAACTTCTCGCTTATTCGTTCGACAACACATACCTAAGCTTCCTAAGAATTAACACAAAATAATAGATTGAGGAATCAAAACATTTCACAGTCGAATGGGGCTTCAGGAAAATCTCACCTGGTGCTTAGACGTTTCGTAATTTTATGATCTTCATTGTATTCATCGGACTCAACAAAGCATCCATACGCATTCACTACCAGTTTAAATTTTAAACTGCTTTCTGCGGCGACATTTAACGAAGTTGGCGATATATCTTCCTCCATTTAGGAAAGAATTAAAGTCTTACTGGCCTCTTTGATACTGTCTCTTTAAGCTTCGGTTAAGTCTGAGTTAAGCGTGAAAAAAGCTAGTCTTCCTCGCAGTCGTTTTTAGTATCGTCACGCAACGCTCTTCAAAACTGGAAGCCAATCAAAACACTGCATTTAACAAAAGAATAATTTCAAAACAAAAACACAAGCGCGCAAAGCCGTTTGGGTGAACATGGGCCTTTAACATTGCCAAGCACAGACATAATATCGATCCTAAAGGCCTTGAAAATTTGCAACCATTAGAAATTTTACCTCAAGTTGTTTTTAAACAAGACATGGTCCCCTAGTTATACAATAGATAGACTACCTCGTGGGTAGTCTATCTTTTGAAGTAAGCATCTTTGGTTTAAATTGATTCCCAAGACGCCAATAAATATTTACCGTAAACTCTGACGTATTTATGAATAGTAAACTGAATAAAGAGGTTACGGGTGTGAGATTGACAAAAGTAATTATTCAATTTAATTACAGAATTGCTAAACGATTAGTAAAAGAGTGGTTAGAATAAAAAAAACGGGTCAGAACGGATGTCTAAAGTATATTCTCATATCCGTTAGCCTCCAAAACAACCATTTGGGTCGGGTTGTATTCTGAAACTGGCTTTATTGAAAACGAGAAATTGCCGTGGACTAATAATAAGATAATACATAAATAATTAATTTCAATCGTATCGTGCCAGCTAATGGATAATTTCTGACGTGTTTTGGAAACGTTTTATTTTTATTTCCCTGGAGTAACTTAAAAATATATGTGAAACACACCACAGTGTAGAGTTGTATTCCTCGATAGTTACAAAGTAGGAAAACAGGTAACACTGGTAAGATCTCAAATGATTCCGAAAATATAATGGCAGCTGAATCTATCTTTAAACTAGCGATACCGCTGTTTGCGTTAGTGGGAATTTGGCCTCGTCGATGCATCACACTTGCAAACCAAGGTTAGAATACATTTCCTGGATATATCGGTTGTTTTGCCATAGAGTCTAAGCTTTGAATAGCACACTCAGATTAAGGGCCCTAATTTTATAACTACAGTCGGGGGACATAAGTATTCGTCACTTTCAATATAGCGGCGTTTGTTTACATTTTACGCGCGCTAGTTTTAACACCGTTTGTTCGTTTGTGGCAAATCTAACTTTAAAATCACCTTAATATTTAGTGAGACGACCCTTCATTTCAATTACATTATTTAGGCGGTCAGGTATTGACTGGTAAAGGTCTCTTATATAATCCAATTCGATGTTCGGCCACACGCTCTGAATTTCTCTGATATTTTCTATTATATTTAAATCTGGTGTGGTGTAGGATATTGCCGGGTAGCTAGCCTGCGTAGCTGGCGGTATTGTGTAGTAGTCGAGTGAAATTTGGCGGCGGAGCCGTTGTAATATAGTCGAATGAGATTTGACTGCGGAGCCGTCACGAGCGGCGAAGCCGTGAGAAATACCAACCGCCTCGTCCCTTCTCCCTTTTTTTGTAACACGTCTCCGCCGCCAAAACTTTAATCTCGCACCCACACAATACCGCCAGCTAGGCAGGCTACCGAGTAGCTTACTAATATGACTGGTGATTGAATTAACTGATTAGAGAAAAGAAAGGGGGTATATTCTTTGCAAGAGAGAATTCTTTGTGAGCTTTTGTGGTGTTCAACTATAGATCTTCTTCGTCGCCACTCCTCAAAGTTCTTTGTTGCCTTTCACGGTTGCTGTTATTTCTTTGACCACAACCACGTGCACAGCTTGCAAAATTTTGTTAAAAGCAGAAAATTAACCATTTTCAGTTTCACGTTTACGTACGTTTCAGGTGACTGCAGAAAGCTGTCGTTTCCACCATATTTGTTCTTTGCCAACAAACGTCTGGTGAACTACGTAATAAAAACCGAGCAAGTCCCTGATATGGATACATGTGAAATGTTATGTTTCAACGAGCACAACTGCGTCAGCTGCAATTTTGAAAATAACGTGAGGAGCGATGATGGAACACACCAATGTGAACTGAACAATTCAACTCAGCAAGAACTCGAAGAAGATTTTCTGGACACAGTCGGTTTCTTCTACCATGGAACAGACGTAATTCCAAATAATTATTCAATTTATAGTTCTCTTTTTTAGATACTCAGTTTTCATTCATCGAGGATATAGCCTGCAAGCAAGAAGCTATTTTCGCTTTTCTTTAGAGAAAAGAGAAACAAGCAACCTAACAGGGGCACCCAACGAGAATATAGTTCAAAACCACTAAAACAGCATTAATGGGCGTATTTTAGTATTTAAACGGTAGGTCTAGGCATATTTTAATCTTCCAAAAATTTTTCATCTGTTCGGATTTCCTAACTAAAAGTCTAATGATCCGAAAATTATAGCCAATTTTAGCCAGGAAAAAGGCTCCCGAAAATTCTAAGTGACCTTTTTAGGGTAAAAATCCGTTAAAAATGGCCAATTATACCATTTTTTATATGTTCGAAAATCCTAGGAGAGGTAGGCAAGCAAAAAATTTTACAACAAATGTTCCAAAAATTCTAGATCTCAAATCGTCTTCCGAACAGATATTTTCCGGAAATTGACGTTGGTGCCCCTGACCTAAGTTCAGTGGAAATGAAATTTGTGAGATCTCATTTACTGTTTGAAGTGGAAATAAGCCGGGCAAGTTTGCATAAAATAATGTAAAAAAATGATTGGTTAATGTTACTATCTTTGCATTTTTATCAAAATGATGAGTTTCTTTCCGTTGAAAACGGTTGTCCCTGAAATATTCTTTACGCAAATGCGCCCGACACTAGCATCAGTTTCAGTTTTCAAACACTTTCAAAAGAACTTTAATTTTTAATTAAACTTAAAAAGTTAAGTAAGTCTAAGCGTATTGGAAATACATCTAACTTTAAACAGCGAAACAAACCTTAGGTTTTGCAAATTTTTCTTGCATCACTCTTTAAATTTAAACCGGAGGATGTATCGGAGAAGGCTTGCGGACTGATCCACCTCTTTTCAATGCGAAGTGGGTGTGGGTGTTCCGAAAATCAAGTAAATAACTAGAGTAACATACGTTGACCTGACAATGACCGGTACCTCTTTTGATATGATACGGAACATACTGTAAAACATGAATGACTCTGTTAACTTCCGTGTTGATTGTTTGTTTGTTTGTGTTTTTTTACAGAGCGCTTGTGATAGCAGCCATTGTCTCAACGGTGCAACTTGCCAGTCTGGATTCACAAACAAACGATATCGCTGTCTGTGCCCTACGGGATGGACAGGTGAACATTGCGAACAAGGTAAAGAATGACCGGATTCACTTTCCTTTTATACCGTACTTTTCGCTGTTTCTCAACACAAGTTCTCAACTACCTTCCTTCTTTATAATCAAAGTACAATCAAGGACATCCCAATGTTGTGTTTTTCGGCAGGTAATCCAAAGCTAATACAAATGAACGAGTATTTACGGTATAAAATAAGCGATCAACTGACATTTTCCAATATTTCGGATGGTAAAGCTGTTCTTTAGGTGGAAAAAAGATTAAGGAAGGCCTGACCTGAGCTGAGCGTCCGAATTATCAGAAAACCTCAAGTTTAATTTAATCTTGGTTCTTTTTTTAAAAAGCGGCATGGTTTCTATAACGTAGTTATTTTCTTGAACGTTTTAACGTTAATTAAGGCCATGAAAATGAAAAAAAGTGGCTTGAATAAGACGCCAATGTTTGTTTATTCATTTATTTATTTATTATGATGGCTAACAAGAAGGGGAAAGATAAGGCCATATGGACAATCCGTATGGAAGTTAGTGACCCCATATCAAAAACAGATAATAGGTCAATCGAACTAACACTTTTATATACAAACATACTTAAAGAATACAATATCAGAGAAATTGTTTAATGTACGGAAATATATACACTCAAAAAATAATAGTAATGGTACTATTTGAGGTGAGGGTTCTACTAAGACGGGATGAAACTAGCAAGTTAACAGCTTCTAAACACTTGCCTTAAATATATTTGCATAATTTAGTGGGGCTAAAAATGTCTGTTTATAGCAAGGTAAAGGAAGTTACGTTTAAGAACATTGGCTCTTTTATCATTTGTTAATGGTATAATATATTTGCTTTTTGTTTTGCTTTTTGTTGTTTGTTTTTTGCCGTATTGCACTTTCTTCGCTCATCATTACTCAAAACCCCACCACAATAAAACCCCGCGTATAAGAACCTGGGTTTTAAGAACCTTTTAGGCTAAAATTTTCATTTTAAGCCCCCTTCACATAAGAACCAATTAAGGCTAAAATTTAAAGTTAGGTTCTTATCAGTGGAGTTGCTGTAAAAGTGTATCAACTTTGAAATGGCATTTCAGAGAACTGACTATGAGTTTGTTTGTTATGTTTTGTTAAGGACATACCTGCACTGTACTGCCTTTAGGCATTACTGTATAGTATAAATGATTTATATTGTATTATGAGATGACATTTATAATATACTTAAATGAAATTCATATGAAAATATAAGAACCTATTTTAAGAACCTTGGTAGTCTAAATTTCTTTTAAGTACCATTTATATAAGAACCTGTTAAGGCTAAATTATAAAATCCCGGTTCTTATACGCGGTGTTTTACTGTACTCTACAAAACTTCTCGCCTCAGCGTACCCTACGTCGTTTTTTGTCTAGTCCGACAAAGTTTTCCAACCTTTAGGACTTGAATACCTACAAAGACCTCGTTCCCAGATCCTCTCTCCTTCCCTTCACCTGGAGAATCTCGAAGAGACCGCTGTGGCAAGGTCTGCCGGGTAAGGTGGACGGAGTCCCGACTATACGCCAGTTATGCTGCTCGGAAATTACGTTCAAGGTGCAGCACACTTCTTTGGGCTTACTTTATTTTCATTTCCATTACAGACATCAATGAATGTGACGGTGGAGTCCATGATTGCCTTCGTAGTCTGGCTTCCTGTAAAAACACATTGGGTTCGTTTAATTGCTCTTGTAACCATGGATACATAGGAGATGGAAAAACGTACTGTACAGAGGCACCAGGTAAAATTATTGACAATTTTACACTATGCGCGTTTTGTTTTACTGAGGTTGCAATTGGCTTTGTTTTCCTATAACAAAGAGATTTCATTTTTTTTCTTAAATAAGCATCTCAGCAGTCCGGAATTGTTAGTTGTTACTCGTTATAAATCTCACGCATGCGGCAGTACCGACTATTTTACTGTTTCAAAACTTTTGTTTACTGACTTCGTTTTCGTGGTCTAGTCTATCTATACAGTAATTGCTAGAATTAGTAGTTATTCATCTCTTCGAGTAGCAGAGTTTGCACTAATTCAAAGAGGGCGCTTATTTGAATGGGCTGCTTCTTTCAATTTTAAAACTTTGGCCTTAAAAATAACGTTATCTTTATTTCAAGTAAACACAAACTGTAACCTCTACTAATTATGCTGTAACAGACACCGAAACCTAGAAACATGTCTGTAAGAAGAAACACAAATCTGCGTGTGGCTTCTAAGTTCACTGATCTGGAATAAAAAATCTTTCTAGTATACAAGTTTCTCTTCCTAGAACAGACATATTCATTGAGTGGACGATTATTTGAAGGGAGCAACTTTTAGCCTCGGGCGTTTTCGTGTTGCATGCGGAGACAAGTTATTGGAAGTTGTGCTTGAATATATTGCAGACGATATACCGTAAAATTCCGAAAATAAGCCCCGGGGCCTATATTTTTCAAAGGCCCTTTTAATGGAGGGGCTTATATACAGAGGGAAATTTCGGTTTCAAAATCTGCTAAGCTTATACTGGGCCGAAATGTGCGTCTCAAAATCTCAGTATTGGGCTAGCTTATAGTTAGAAGGAAATTTATATCGGTAATTTGCAGCAAGTTTTTACTGAAACTCACCTTGAGGACGTAACTCAATAGGTCCAAAGTACTTTGCCAATTTTCAGAATTTAAGGGATGTATGTTATAATCTAAGGGGTAAGGGAAGTAACTTGGTACATCCTAATTTTACTGCTGAGTGGATGCATAAATATAGGATATTACATGGCCGCGCGGGGATACGAATTTATCTTCGAGTGAGAGATACTTTAAGCACGAGTAGATAAAATTCGTATCCCCAAGCGGCTATGTAATCTTCTGTTTATTTTATAGATACTGATGAAATTCCTACATAAAACACAACTTTTTTTTATTCATTTTCGAAACAGCAAAATAGTGCAATTAAAGTGGTCACCTATCGCAAAATGGTTGTCACAAAAATGTTATGAAACTCGGATATAAAGTTATAAAGGAGAAATAAAGACAATAATACTTGTATTTTCTGTTCCAAAAAGTCAAAATTCTAATGAAGACAAGAAAAATTCTATAACAGCAAAAGCGTATGTTAGTAACCATGGCGACACCAATATCCTCACACATGAAAGATAAAAATAGTATCTTCACTGCGCGCGATGAAGATATGATTTTTTTCGTAAAAGGAAAAATCCTGGTATTTCATCAGTATCTATATAATAAATCCTTTTCATTTGCAGCTATCAAGCTGTGGAATAAACTACCGCTATACATTAGAAATTCTGATAATCTTAATGTGTTTAAAAAAGCTCTTCAAAAGTTCAATTTAGAATCTTGATACTAGTTTTTGCCTTGAATATGTTAATATATGTTCATTGCTATCATAGCTTAGCTCTTTTTTAAATCATAGATTTTTATATAATGACATTTATCAGGCGCGGATCTCGGGATAAATACTGACCGTTTTCCTAAACGAGCGCCGAAGGCGTTAGCTTCTAGTGGGGTCTAGAGGCATGCACCCCCGTGAAATTTTTTGGATTTTTCTCCCTTAAGTCACCTTTCCTGGGTTTCTGAGTCATTCAGTCAGGATATTGGCCAGATTTTAACTTGTAAAGTTTTTTTCTATGAAAAATTTATTTAGTTATGAAAACTCTGACCGATTTTTGTAAAACGGTGGAAACCGGTGTGGATCCGCGCCTGTCTTTTTGTATAATGGATGTTAGTTCTTACGTAGTTAAAGTCTTTTTTCGTTCTACTTAGGTTTTGGTAATCTTTTTTCTACAAGTGCACGTTCGAAAGAGTTTTTGTTAACTCCCAGGTGTTTACGTGTATAAATAAACTACTTACTTACTTACTTACTTAGATCTCAGTAAAATTCAGCTATGGAAGTGTTTTGTCCATATGATCCGAGGAAATCCAAGCCAATTCTGAAGAGTAAACTACGCAAACAGCAATATACTGTGACACTTTTTGACTGCAATCATTTGGCAGAAGTAATAGTTCGGGCAAATGCAAAAAAATTAGTGTTCCTGTGCAGTTTTTGCTTTGTTTTAATTTATTTTGAATTTGAGGGCAATTTCCGAGTACAAGCCCCCGGGGGCTTGTATTTAGAGGGGTAATTTATGGGAGGGTTTTTTACGTTACGAATTTGGGGGGCTTGTATTTGGAGGGGCTTATATATGGAGGGGCTTATTTTCGGAATATTACGGTAACACTACGATATAGCAAACATATTTTGCCATTCCACTAGCTAAATGGCGCAAAAAAAGCACCTGACTCAGAATGAATCAATGAAATTCTTTCAAACATTTTTTTCCTAACCATTGTTTATTGTAACTATCTTAAACATGGCTTGTTCTTTTCAGAATGTTATAACTTCACATCTCTGACCGATGCTGACAGGAAATCATCGTTTCGTCTGGTTGAACCCGTTAAACATGACACTAATCTCGGTCCAGGATGGTTTCGTTTCCAAGGCGACGCAGGTAGTATGATGACTACTTCATGTCCGCCTAAAGAGAAGTGTAACACCGCTGCACCCGGCTGGTTAAATGGTACGCATCCTGAAGTAACTGATGGTATTGTCACAAGACAAGTCTGTTTTAGTTACGATGCAGGATGTTGTGAGTGGCAAACCCAAATCCAAGTGAGGAATTGTAATGAATACATTGTATACTATCTTCACAGTACACCATTTCATGGAGGTTCTCTCCGCTACTGCGGCACTGACTAAAGTGAAGGAGATCTACAAACACCTGATCTGACTTTTCATGTGGTTCATATATCGACCGAACAGCCACTAAGGTGGTTATTAATCGTAGTCATTAGGTCATAGCTTGCGTAAGTCTCTTCTGTTCTCTCGCTAGTAGGCGCTGGCCACTGATCTGTCGATTATGGACTTATCGATGGCTTTTATTCTGTGGGTGTGCACTAAACACGCCCCATTGTAACCTTCCCGTGGGACTGAGGCTAGACACCGTAAAAGAATGGACGTTTGGGGGCGGCGGTGAGGAAGGGTCTGGTTGGGTTCGGAAAATGTAACTAATAAGTAACAAACTAGATACTGAAATTTTAACTTAACCTCTACGAGATATAATCGCCAAACTGAAGAAGGAAGAACTTTTACCAGCACGTCGTGCAAAGCGTGGAACAGTTTACCATTGTCTCTAAGACAAAGAGGCTCGGTCAGTTCTTTCAAAAAAGCATTGGGAATGAATTTTTCACTCAACAGCAGACTCTTGATCATTTTCTTATCTAAGTTGTTCGCTAAGTTTAGACTAGATTATACAGCTATATCTTGCATTTTATATAGTTTAGTAGTATCTATAGTATTTAGATTATCTAGTTGTTATCTTGTATTTTATGTAGCTTATTAATATCTATTAATTGTTTATCTCATTTATTTATTTATTTTAATTTAGATTTAAGAGGGCCACAAGTTTATTAGCTTTGGCTATTTAGTGTCAACCCTCATTAAATAAAGTCTTCATCTTATCTTGTTAACTTCAAAAAGTTAGTTGCCGCCTTCGTGACGAAGGCAATGCGAAACTTTCATTCTAAAAAGGTTGGAGTTTAACTTTTTGCAGCTAAATTCATTGTACTGCTTTACACGTTTTGCAAACTTCAAAGAGGCTGGGATTTTCCTGTTCCGCTAATCTTCTGAGTAGAGTTGGGGTTCATGCAAATCAAAACCGCACACAGCGCTCGATCCGGCGCCCAGCTTAGGTCGAGACACGGTGGCCTGCGTAGATGGCAGTCTTTTGGTCGAGCGCGTAAATAAGCGGCGAAAGTGCGAAAAGAAAAAGATCGGCGGAAAATGAAAATGACCTTGGAATGACTTCTAGTTTACAGTGTACAAATTTCATGATTTTCGTCCGCCACCACGACCTCCTGCTTTAATTTGGTTAACCTCCATTTGAAGCTTAACAATGCCATTAGACTGGCTTTCGTTTCATCTTGTAGCTGTTTTTAAAAAGTTTCCTGCAATTTTTACACGAGTCGTATGTTAACGTCATTTAGACAAAGAAAGCTCTTACACACAAATACTCAGTAGTGTTTGAGGGCTTGTTGGCAGTTAGTTGTCTGTTGTAAGTAAGTCAGCCTCACAATTTTAACAAGCCTGTCTTCGAAAAAGATAATTTATTGGCATTCACACTACTTCTCAACTCAAACCAAGACGTGTACGTCTCTAAAATAGAGTAGCGAACAATAAAAAGAAGAACTGAAGAAGCTCTTGTTATTAAAACATCATTTTATTACGAGGGACTTCATCTTGCTGTCTTTTGTTTCTTTTGTGACTGTGCTTCATCGTAGGCCTTTCGTTTGGTCTCAAGTTTTCGTACCTACAAAAAGACAAAACGTGTTTTAGCAACTGTTACAATTTGCCTCGTCTTTTGATTCTATGTATCGATCAGAGGGTAAAGTACAAGAACACATCAAATGACTTATCACAAACTACTACGGTTTACAAGGAATTATCAACGCTAATTTGTAAGAACGAAGGAATCCCAGCTTTGTTTCCAAGTACAGACATAACTTGACTTCTTACAAAGACATGGGAGCTATGCTAAGGAAACGCACCCAGTCTGACCTTTGAATTAACATCACTGCCGGTAATTCAACAACAATTCTATTCAATTCAATTCTTTATTTTACACTGTATAAGACATTTACACAGTTGCCGGACTGTATACAAGTAGTAAGGAAACAAAAATAGATGACAAGTATTCATTAGGTGTAACATAATAAATATTACCTCGCAACAGTTCTAAAAGAAACCGAGATCCAAATACTGACCGACGCAAGCGATTTACATAAGACAGGTAAGATGCGAGTTGAAGCTTAGTTAAAATTTTACGAGACCTTGCTTGCCTCACCTCTGATCTCTTTTTCTTTTTAGAATGCATTATCCTGTCGTATAACCGTTTGTCTTTCTTTTTCATGGCCATCAACGCTAAGTTCTTCTCCTCTTTGGTCATCTCTTCACTCTTTTCTTCTAAATTCAAGACAACGAAGAGCATAAAATTTTTGGAGGCAAATACTTCATCCTAGACAGGCTGCAGGAAGCAACAACATTTCCAGTATGGAACACCATTTACTTAGAGGAGCGGTGTCAGGAAATTTACCAAAATTGAAACATAATTTGGCAACTGCCGCCAAATTGAGTGAAACACGAAAATAACCGCATAAAACAATAGGAGAAGGCATAAACAATGGATGGACAAACTAAGAAAAAGTGAAATGGATTGCAATAATTATTGTGGTTATTGAAAACTTGTTACCCTAAAAGGCTTTCAAAGTTCATTTTTGTTATTCAGTAGTGCTGGAAATAATAGTTGGAGGACAGATTTGCTGGACATTAAGCTGTGATTTTGTTATTTACAAGTATTTTCTAATAAGGACGAATAAGGGCGAATTATGTAGTTGGTTACTCTACTGAGTAATTGACGTGCTTGCCCTTTGAATTGAGCTTATGACTGACCTATTCATGCAGCAAGCCTTGAGATCGACGCGTAATTAACTAAAATCACTCAATGTAATTATTGCACGAATAAGGACGACTAATTGGCAATATTGAAAAAAATGACCTAGACAGCCTTCAAGGTATTAACAGTGATTGCAACCAAAGCTAAGGGATGCACCATTAGAAATGTGAAGGGGGGGGGAGTCCAAAAACAAAAAAAAAAATCCTGCAAAACAAAATTTTAAGAAAAAAAAATCCTGCATTGCAACGAAACCAGAAAAAAATATCCTGCTTGGATAACCAATGTGACTGCGACAATATATTACACAGTCTGAAAAATAAATCTGTGATCTGTAACAGGAAATCCCCTTCCCCCAACTTCCTAAATTCATGTCAAACTACATTTCAGGCAGAAAAAACAATTTCTACTGGCTAAATAGAGATTTCAATTTGAACCAACTCTGATGCCCTTGATCTCTATAGCTGCCATAGTATTAAATTAAGAGACTGTGGTGATAATTGTTTAACTTTATAAATTAAATAAACTTTTTTATTGAAATACTTTTGTTTTAATGGGATTAAAGTGAGATTGTGTTAACAACGTCAATAGTTCCACTTGCACGCAAGTTTATGGAGTTGGTGTTGTACAATATGCGTTGCTACTTGAATCCATAAAGTTTACAGCTATAAACAAAAGTAGATGTCCCAAAAACACCAATCACACTGCAGATCCCGCTGCATTTAAAAGAAAAAAAAAAAAAATCGTGCAAGGGTTTGAAGGTTGAAAAAAAAATCCTGCACTCCTGCTGGTTGTGAAAAAAATAACATGCCTTTCCAGAAAGTCCTACCCCCCCCTTCACATTTCTAATGGTGCATCCCTAAATACAGTGAAGCCCCTGTATATAGCGACCACCATGGTAACAAGAATCATCACAGTGTGAGTAACAACCCGGTATAACGAATACTGCAGTATAACGAACACCACGATATAACGAACCCCCCACTATAACGAGTACAACAGTATAACGAACACCACGATATAACGAATACAACAGTATAACGAACACCACGATATAAAGAATACAACAGTATAACGAACACCCCGGTATAAAGGATACCACAGTGCACGAGCACCACGGTATAAAGAAAACCACAGTATAACGAACACCCCGGTAAAACGAACATCCCCCAATACCGAATACCACAGTATAACGCAAATCACGGTATAAAGGATACCACGGTATAAGAGAAGAAGAAGAAGACCCATCTCTCTCTGCCATTTGGCAGTCATTTTAAGCTCTCAAACCCTGAAGAATCACCTATTTTCGAGAGGATTATTTCAAAAAGATTTTTGTTTCTACTGCCACGTTGTTATACCAAAGAGAAAAGTTCCGACAAGAAACTAATATTGGTGTCTTCTGCCTCTAAGGCTCCAAACATCTTGGAAGCCCCGCCCCGTTGGAGCATCAAGGCTTAGGAAATAAATGAACTTCTCACCTTGTTCTTCATTCTGTTGAGCATATTCCACCTTCCCCTCCTCCTCTAACATGGCTCGTCTCTCAGGGGGAATGTAATCTCCTTCTTCCTCTTGGACAAATGGAGACAGATGAGGTGGCAGTTCTACTCCCGCAAAATAATCTTCAACAGGAAGCAGCTTGCGATGATTCACACAGTCAAACACCCACTGCGGCTGCACATAATACCTAGGAAAATTATTCACGGCTCGATGTAAAAACATTTTCGATCGGAAACATAGAAAATGTCCCGGGAAGGAAAAACCACACAAAAACAGACAGTGATGCCCAACATCTCACTTATGGGTGTAAATTGAAGATTGTGGTCTCATTTAGGTGCTTCTAACTGAAAGAAGGACGTAAATACACTACAAGCAATTATTTCCTTTTCGAACTTGCACGCGTCCATAATATCAGTAAGAATTCAACTCTAGGAAAATTTGCTAACGCGAATTGACTTTAAAAGTGACGTTTTCGCTGTTGTTTTGCATAGGCTCAGGCTGCATTGCTTTCAAATCACTCACAAGTCATGACAATCCTCTTTGAGTCTTCATTTTGACATGGCATCATATTTACCATTATTTTTTTTACTTTATCAGTTCATTTCTAGTACACAGAGAACAATCTACTAAGTGAGAATCATCTTATTACCTGGATAGGTACCTGTGCCCTTGCACAGGCCGGTCTACAATTTGATGAGTTATGAATTCACTACTTTCATCAAATGTTGCTCCTAATGCGTCAGCACTGTGCCATGAAACTTCACCACCAAAACACCTGGTAAACAAAACAGCGCAATTCACACTCTGAACCATTTCAAAAAGCCGTAACTGTACACTCTGGGGAATATTTGGCCTTCGACGCAAAACGTTCTTTAGGCCGCAAAAAAACGTTTCCGTAGGAGACTTGGAATTACTGAGACAGTGACTAAAAACGGCAGATAAAATACGGTCACCTTAATAATACTTAAAAACTAAGGAAACAGAAATTTTCACAGAAATTTCCAAGCAAAGAGGAGAAAGAAAGGCTTAGAAGAGGGTGAATGGGAAGAGAAATCTGGAGAGTACAATCTTCTTTTCAAAACACAGTTCCCACAAGCCGCGGTGGTGGTCATTTGTAAGAACTTTCAACAACGGTGCTTTGTAGGAAAAACTGATTTTAGTATTTTGGATGTTTGAAAGGGGTGTTCACACATAAAAGCTGAACTATACGTACAGATGTGCCACTTGTACCTGAGAACAAACACAAGTATCTCTCTCGGGACTTCTCTAGAAAGGAAAATGTTGCAATCTGAAAACAGGTTCTTGAGTTTTTCCTTTTGTTGAAACTCCTTCTTGCTAGCCTCCTGAGCTTTTCCTTCTTCACTCTGTAAAAGGAAACAAACCAAAGTTAAGACTACAGAACAAGCAGAATTTTATTAAGAGACAGCAACTTACATCAGGATCAACTGGAAATTCATCCACTTCAACCTCTTCTTCTTGAGCTGAAGGAAGCAGAAAGAATCTATTAGTTTTTACGGGTAGTGACATACCAAAATTGTTCCTCAGTGCGCAATGCATCTGGGGTGAACGTGGGTATAATTCTTTAAGGCAGCTGAATTTCTTATTCACTTATCTCCTTCTTTAAATAAAATATAATTACAGGAATATTTGTGGAACACACAAGATTTATGCAACTGGCTCTTGAATCCTTGTCAAAATGCCACACATTTGACAGGATTGAAAATACTTTACATTAATAAACTAACAAATTGTTTACCTGTGACAGCTAAATTTTGACTTAAAGCTGATAGGATCTGTGGGATGGACAAAAAAAAAACACAGATTAAAAACAATGCCAGAGACAAGGAAAAAAAAACTACAAAAAAAATGATATTCATGATGAAAGGTAAAACAAAATGGAGTCTGGCTTTTCATTGCTTTGCAGAATTGGCTTAGGAAAACTAACATAATCGGGCAGAGGCCAAAAAAGGATTTTTTTACCTTCATGTACCCATACACTTTAATAATTATTAATACTGTAAATCCACAAATACACACCCGGGCGCTTGTTTAAAATTTCAGGTAAAAGGATGGGCGCTTACTCGAGGAAGACACTTAATTGAGGGGGGCATTTATTACATTTTCATTTAAATGAAATAGAGAATGGTGGTCTGTTTCCTGGGAAGTTTATGCGATTTGCCAAGAATGCGGCAATAGGACAAAAACTAAAGACGAGATGATGCACATAAAGGAACTCTACAAGTATGCAGATATAGAAATAACAGGAAGTGACTCAAACAAAACATATGCTGCTATAGTTGAAGCCTAAAAAGGTAAAAATAAAGTGGCGAAAGAAGCTGGTTTCCTTATATCCCTACTATTTAAGAAAGTGAGGGGGAGGGGAGTGGGGCACTTACCGGTATTTAATATTATGGCCTTAGGGCTGGGTGCTTATTTCGGGGAGGGTGGTTTTTCAAGGAAATACAGTACTGCAAATAAATATATTGCGCATCACCTCATCCTCTACTTCAGAGTCTTCACAAAAGCCTGTACTGTTAGCTGTGGTGCTGTATTCTCCAGCAATCTATTAAAGGGCAAATTGAGTAGTATTATCATGAGAAAAAAGACCATTTTTTATATTCAGGAGTCAATCTAATATCACTTTTACAAGTGTAATTTACAAGTGTAGCTATTGTTTCCAGACTCTAAAACAATAGGGCTCCATACTCTGAAATTACACTTGTAAAAGTTTTATTTCATTCCTGATACACAGATTTTTGCAAGCTTTTTGTATTGCCCATAAAACTCCTTATTGCCCCGGCCAATGTAATACCCAGGAGAAATTGAAAACAATCACTTATGCAAACATTTGAGGGGCAAACAAGGCTACATCATGGGCAAAGCAAAGTTGCAAATACATGTATGTACTTGTAGTATTTTGTCCTGTAGTGTAATGTGGCTGAAACATGAAACCACCAATTAATGTTTTTGCTCTCTATAATCTATGTCTTGTATGTCTCACCTTTGGAGGATAATGTAAATTTAACATGTTGTATAGTTTGAAATTAACAAATCCTATCATCGTTGTGTAAAATTCCACAAAAGTGAGCATCACTCTAAAGTCAACATCAGAGGGTGGCTAAAGAAAAGAAAACCACAATTAATTTTAGACAAATTGGTGCATCACTCACAAGAAATTTTAAAATAATTTTCAACAGACTGCAAAATCGTCACTTTTTTTCTCAAAATTGGTTTAGCGTAGCTTAAGAGTCTCACATGCATGAGGGAACGAACCTAACACGCCCGTAGGGCCATGTGAGGTGAGAGAAAAAAACTGACTATCTGTTTTCCATACAATGAGTACATTCTGACCAGGGGGTTCAAAAACTCCACCCTCGTTGTGAATTTGATACACTTGGTGATTGATTTTGCAAGAAAATAGTGCGTGTTATTGTCTGCACTTGGCTTCAAATCTTGTGGTAAATGCTGTATTCAGTAATTCCAATGTACTCTTTAGCCTTGTTTTCCTGTGCTATGTGGTGTTTATGGAAGATCAAAAATGAGTGGAAGTGGCAGTATGCAGACAAAGCCTGTGCCTGCTCCTTGAAGAGGGAGAAAGTTGAAAGAGCTGAGTGCCTCAGATAACTGTAGAATGTGTCGACCATGTTGTTTCAAAACACAGTTCAATTTTAAGAGTGGGTGGATAAGCTCTGAAAATATGTTTGTTGCCCCTACTAGAAAAGGTGAAACATTACCAAAGTTGGCCAACCTTCTGAAAAACAAACTTTTCATTTTCCTTGATGGAGGAGAATCTTTGTTCATGAGAGTTTCCTAGCCATGCAGAACAAAGGTTTGAAACTGTGCTGTGCTGCTTTCGCAAATTAGAGAAAAACTTGAACACACCAACAGACAACGTTAATAATTGTTGTATTCTAGTGACTATGAAACAATCACGACCATACATGGAAATTCTATATGTTTTCCTGGAACTTTTTGACAAAGAACTGAAGTTTGGGATATCAATCAGACCTGAGACTTGGAAAAGTTGCTTAATACTGCTTCTTCCTTCCACCTTCTAAAGCTTTAAAGTTTTGGATTTAATTTTTGGTGTGACACTCACAGAGAAAACTACTGGTATCTACTGACTATATATATACCTCTTGACAAAATTGATATGGTACAATCCATGTTACTGGTTGATCCTGGATTTCAGCTTGGAAGTACACTCCTTTTATAGAAAGGAAAACCTACACAAAACATTGAGGGAAAGAATTTACGAATATTCAGTCTGTGCTTATTTTGAGTTTTCATATTAACAATACCTGTAACCACTTTGAAGAGCATTTCAACGATGCAATATTTTAATATTAAAGTATCTGATTGGCTTTAATAATAGAATTGCCAACTTCTTTAATTGGGTTATTCCAGAAAAAATCCACACCCCCCCGACGGATGGGGTCCTTTTTTAACCCCCCCTCTCACCTGGATTTCCTGAAGCACAAGACCCCCCCTCCCAACTGGATTTCCAAGGTGGAAGACCCCCCCTTCCGCCTGGATTTCCGGGAAAAAATAAAAGGCTTAAATTTAATTTATTTTTAATGGAAAATACACGCAAACACGTCTAAATGTTTTTGTTTTAATTTCTAAAGCTTCAGCTTATATTAAACTAAGAATTCTATCGCGTGGAACTAAAAAACGAAAGGAGCAAAAACAAAAATGCGAACGACACCTGAACGAGTGTTTATATAATTTCTTAGCTTATAAAAATCACTATTCGCTCTTGGCGCTGGCTCTGGGCACGAGTAGAAATGTGTCAGGCGTTTGACGCTCTTCGTGACAACAACGTTGCGACGAGTTCCTTCAGGCCCGTTCTTTAGTATCTTGTTCACGTTTTCTGCTATAAAAGGACCTGTAAAGCAACTTAGATTATCATTTATGTCAGGTGAGAAATATATGAACAAAACATTTTGACTATTTTCAGGGTCTGAAAGCGCTTAAGTGTCATCGAACTAAACGTTTGATTTGTATCAACTATCGGTCGAAATGACCCCTGCAGAAGACTTTTTTAAGGTCAACCCCCCCTCCCGCCTGGATTTCCGGAGTCTTCGACCCCCCCTCCCACGAGAATTTCCAGAATCCCATCCGTCGGGGGGGTGTGGATTTTTTCTGGAACAACCCATTTGTAAATTACAGCAAATGAATCCTGCATTAATGCTTCATGCCACAATAACACAGAAGCAACAGTTTTAATCTTTGTTTTAAATATCTGCTAAAAAATTACATTTCTGGACCTACATTTCTCACCCAATAACCAGCAGTCTGTGAGTGAACATCAAGTTATTTAGTCAAGACTGAGCAACATATTAGTTTTATTTTGTGGCAAGGTTATCACTCCTTTTCCTCTTCTAATATGGATTTTTAATAGCTTACCTTTCTAAGAGACCTTGAGGCTATTATATAGTGTTGAAATTCAACTGGAAAAAAGACGGATAAAGTCTAAATTAATAGACTAGCTTCCCCCAATAACACTGACACAACTGGGCAAAAAATTCAAGAGGAAAAAATAGGTAGTCTATATTAATAGAACAAATACACCATAAAGTCATTATAAGTCATTATTTTTCATCAGCTGTGCCACAATAATACAAAAAACAACTAAAGAAAAGAAAACAAAAAACAAAAACAAAGTTTTTCTGGAAACTAGCTCCTTTGTCCCTTCTTTCTCAGTTTAGGGTATCATAAACCTCTTGCAATAATTCCTTCTCAGATCTTAAAGTTTTGTTCACTGGGTTTGGGTGCAGGAAAAAGGCAAATCTTCTTATCAAGTAATCAATTTAAGTTCAAGGAACCAGATAATGGTCAGATTAATTCAAACCCATTTTGGTACGTAAATCCATACAACGTACCTGATAATCTCTTACACTGTTTTACGACATCAGCCTTTCAAAAACACAAAAATATATATAAGCCAGTAATCAGGTTCAGCCTTCTTTAGGTAGCAGTTGCTAAAAGTGCTTTAAAAATGCCGGAAAATGCGTCAAATGCTAGAGTGTTTTTTTTTCGCTATCATATTAGTCTGAAAGAATAATACTGTCAGTAAATCAAAATAGTATTTCTCCTTTCCTGTGTTTAAGTTGAATACATGCTGTATAATCAATCAGGTGAGTGATGTGAAGTGATGTGTCAACAATTTTGCTCTGTTAAATGGGCTAATGTTTGAAAAGTGAGCTTCTCAATCAGGCTATGTAAATCTTTGTAATGTTCACAGTTGATAAGATCATGTTTTTGTGTTTCAGTTCCCATTGATGCAACACGACAGTTTCAATAATATACTCAAATTATCTGTTAAATGACACAAAAGTGATTTTTCTTCTTTGAAACCTAGTAAAACAAGGTTAAATTAAATCACACCATCTTCCCTGAAAATGCTGCATAATCTCTGATTTTTTATTGCACCTTAAATCAAAAGGCCTGCCCCTAAGGGGTCAATAAGGGATAAACTGGCTAAAAAAGCTGCCCCTTGATCGTAAACATATTGAAAGTGGTTAGAGTTAGGCTGGCCACAATTAACTTCAGTCTTGTCTAATATTTATCTGTAACAAGGTGACCTATGTACTCTTTATACTTGTAAAATGTGACATTAAAATTATACCTACAAAATGGATTTTAGTTAATAAGACAACACCACAGTTGAAAACATAATTTTGTAACAAGAAGTTAACTCCGATATATACCTGTATCTTATCCGTCTGTGGCATCATTGAAAATAACACAAGCATTGATAAAGCATCATCTAAATCTCTAACTGCGTCAATAAAAGTTGGGTATCTGAAAAATAACAGTTGCTATAATGTAAACACTCTCTTAGACAGACACTGTACATAGAAAGGAATAGAAAACTTGATTACTGAGTCGGAGCCTGCATATATCGTGGGAACAACCCCATACTTATTTGGGAACACGCGACATGTAGTATATATGCAGTCTCCACCTAATAATAAACAGCCGAAACTACGACCTGCAAGTAAAATGCAGGGACTATGACAGTGTTTGTCATGCAAAGGTGTCCATTAAGAGAGGCTTGCCTGTATTATTGAATAGCAACAGCTACAATGACAATCATTAATTACTACACTGAAGGTAAACAACACTTAATTCAATCACTGAAAGACAAGACAAGATAAAAAAAACAGTATAACAACACAAACCTCTCCTTAAGTATGTGATCAAGTTTGTAAACGGGTTTGTTGTCTTCTAATCTCTGAGCAGTGCCTGGCTCTTCCTTGGCAATGGCCTTTTTAAGCTTCCTAAGAAACACCTTAAATTCTCGGAACTTGTTTAGAACTGGCTCATGGGCAAGGTACTGTATATCCTTGATGTAGTAATATGTCTTGTTTGCAGTACTTCCTTTGTTAACTTTCTTTTTGTTCTTGGGTTCAACTGGGTACACTCCTTTTAAAATACACAGCCGTCTACAAGAGAAAAAAGGCTAATCATAATAGAGAACAGAACTTCATTCCTCAATTCCCTTATCAGATCTTACATGTTACAAGAAACAATCAAACTCCAGAAATATAATCTTCCCTTGTTTGTCTACAACCAAACTTTTTTTAGATCTGGTCAATTTCCTGATGGGCAACTTTGCCTACCAGCCGATTTGCCAACACAGAGTTTTTACTTACATGTAGCAAGCACCTATGCAAATTTATTGGAACAAAAGAAAGTGTTAACATACGAAAAGTGTTCATCTCCCATAGGATTGGTTTGGTACACCAAGATGGCCATCCTTTCATCACCAAGGAACATAATAGCATGTGTTGGGGTGGTGTAAAGAACAGTGAGCAGGAACCAACAGCGAGTGGGTACGCTTTCACTCTCCACTATTTGAATGCCCGGAGCAGGTTGGGAACACCTGTATGGCTACCATGATGTCATGAAAATAATTTATACATCTACAATGTACCTTCAACTCGCATTTGGTGTTCCACATCCCACTACAGTAGGGATGGGCTCTTAAAATCAATTGATGTTTTGTGCTGCGAATTGTGTGCCTCAGGTTTGGCCTAAAACCAAGGGGGGATCCTGCTCCCTCTCAAACCAACCCCCTCCAAACAGAGCCTCGCCACGACAATAGGACAGATAAAAGCATCTCCCATTCTTACGGGCCATTAACATTCACTTTTCTCCTGCTTAACATCAACTGGGCATTCAGGGGGGAGGTGGTAAGGCAACGGATTTTAGTGAGGGGCATTTTTGGAAAAAAGCAAACTGATGCAATTTTATTAATTTTACACCATTTGTGGAACGGTGCTCGTGACAATTTTTAAAGCAGGATCAATTAAAGAAGGGAGTGTAAATTGTGATCTTTTGATTTCTGCTCTCAACAACTAGCAAATATTAATTGTACATTTTGCAAGTGGGGGAAAAGTGAATGGCCAAAATGGTTTTGGTCGAAAATTCCAAGTCGTGTTCAGTTACGGGCTAAAAAATGATTATCCATTCCCTCAAGGAGCAAAATGTTATTGGCTTTATTACTCAGACAAAACAAAAGATTAAGTATTGAAAGATGACAAAATTCACCTAAAATCCGGCAAGCTGACTTGAAGTTTCTTCAGCGCTTGATTTCTTGAAATGTAATTGGTCGCAGCCCCTCTTTCTCCCTGCAAAAGAATACGAAATGTATTTCTCCATGTAATCCATCAAAAGAAGTTCAACTTGGACAGAGAAGGATCGATCAAAACTACCTTTTTCTTTTCCTTCCCCATAATGTTTTCCTTTGAAACTAACCCACGTGAAAAATATTGGGAAAGAAGCACTTCGCAGAGAATTCTGGGTTATTCTTTCATGTTACGCTTACGCCAAATAGATATATCCTTCATGTAATAGTAATAGATTGTTTATCTCCCTGTATACCCTGTATACCCTGTACACCCATGTATACCCTGTATACCTATGTATACCATGTATACCCTGTATACCCTGTATACCCATGTATACCCTGTATACCCTGTATACCTATGTATACCTGTGTATACCCCGTATACCCACGTATACCCTGTATACCTATGTATACCCTGTATACCTATGTATACCCTGTATACCCTGTATACCTATGTATACCTTGTATACCCTGTATACCCTTATATATGTATACCCTGTATACCCTGTATACCCATGTATACCCTGTATACCCTGTATACCCATGTATACCCTGTATACCCTGTATACCCATGTATACCCTGTATACCCTGTATACCCATGTATACCCTGTATACCCTGTATACCTATGTATACCCTGTATACCCTGTATACCCTGTATACCCTGTATACCCATGTATACCCTTGTATACCCTGTATACCCTGTATACCTATGTATACCCTGTATACCCTGTATACCTATGTATACCCTGTATACCCTGTATACCCTGTATACCCATGTATACCCTGTATACCCATGTATACCCTGTATACCTATGTATACCCTGTATACCCTGTATACCCTGTATACCCTGTATACCCATGTATACCCTGTATACTTATGTATACCCTGTATACCCTGTATACCTATGTATACCCTGTATACCTATGTATACCCTGTATACCCTGTATACCTATGTATACCCTGTATACCCTGTATACCTATGTATACCCTGTATACCCTGTATACCCTGTATACCTATGTATACCATGTATACCCTGTATACTCTGTATACCCTGTATACCCTGTATACCCTGTATACCCTGTATACCTATGTATACCCTGTATACCCTGTATACCTATGTATACCCTGTATACCCTGTATACCCTGTATATACCTGTATACCCTGTATACCCTGTATACCCATGTATACCCCTGTATACCCTATGTATACCCTGTATACCCTGTATACCCTGTATATCCATGTATACCCTGTATACCCATGTATACCCTGTATACCTGTGTATACCCTGTATACCCTGTATACCCTGTATACCCTGTATACCCATGTATACCCAGTATACCCTGTATACCCTGTATACCCTGTATATGTATATACCCTGTATACCCTGTATACCCTACCCTGTATACCCATGTATACCCTGTATACCCATGTATACCCCCCTGTATACCCTGTATACCCATGTATACCATGTATACCCTGTATACCCTGTATACCCATGTATACCCATGTATACCCATATACCCTGTATACCCTGTATACCCATGTGTATGTATACCCTGTATACCCTGTATACCCTGTATACCCTGTATACCCATGTATACCCTGTATACCTATGTATACCCTGTATACCCATGTATACCCTGTATACCCTGTATACCTATGTATACCCATGTATACCCTGTATACCTATGTATACCCTGTATATACCTATGTATACCCTGTATACCCTGTATACCCTGTATACCCTGTATACCCTGTATACCTATGTATACCCTGTATACCCTGTATACCCTGTATACCTGTATACCCTGTATACCCTGTATACCCTGTACCCCTGTATACCCTGTATACCCTGTATACCCTGTATACCCTGTATACCCTGTATACCCTGTATACCTGTATACCCTGTATACCCTGTATACCCTGTATACCCTGTATACCCTGTATACCCTATGTATACCCTGTATACCCATGTGTATACCCTGTATACCCTGTATACCCTGTATACCTTGTATACCTGTATACCCTGTATACCCTGTATACCTATGTTTACCCTGTTGATACCTGTATACCTATGAATACCCTGTATACCCTGTATACTCTGTATACCCTGTATACCCTGTATACCCTGTATACCTATGTATACCCTGTATACCCTGTATACTCTGTATACCCTGTATACCTATGTATACCCTGTATACCCTGTATACCTATGTATACCCTGTATACCCTGTATACCTATGTATACGCTGTATACCCTGTATACCCTGTATACCCTGTATACCCTGTATACCCATGTATACCCTGTATACCCTGTATACCCTGTATACCTATGTATACCCTGTATACCCTGTATACCCTGTGTATACCCTGTATACCCTGTATACCCTGTATACCCTGTATACCCATGTATACCCATGTATACACCTGTATACCTGTATACCCTGTATACTCATGTATACCCTGTATACCTATGTATACCCTGTATACCCTGTATACTCATGTATACCCTGTATACCAATGTATAGCCTGTATACCCTGTATACCGATGTATACCCTGTATACCCTGCATTCCTTGTATACCCATGTATACTTATGTACTCCCTGTATACCCATGTATACATTGTATACCCTGTGTGCCCGGTATACCCTGTCTACCCTTTAGTAAAAAAATCATGTTTGATATACAAAATAAATCTTTTATGTAAACAATTTAATATCGAAAATAAATCAGTTACTTTTAAAAAAATCCTTCTGCTTTCCTACAGTTTGTCAGTACATTTTAAAAACCACCAAGTCAATCTGATAAGTGCAAACAAAAAAACTAAACTTCTACTCCACCTATACAAACGAAAAAAAGTACTCTGAATTCATTTATCATATCAGGAAGCCTGAACATAAACGCATCGCCTTCAAATTTAAGATAGGAAATCACAAATCTGAAAGATTTACAATCCGCAAAACTCCCGAAGACCTTTGAATTTGTGATCACTACAGTCTAAATTGTTGAAAATTAAATACACCTATTATTTCATTGGTCCTTAAAAAGTCTCTTTTCACTAAAATGAATGACGAAATACGTTATTTACAAATTAAAATACTAATGATAAAATCTGTTTTCTTTTTAATATTAATACTGATTCGTACATGCGGAAGCTTACTGCTACCTTCGTCTTCCAAGCATTTAAGAGATGAAAGAAGAATAATGATAATAATAATCGATAAATTATCCCATTCTATTATATCTGTAATTCCTTTGAAATCTTCCTCTTGATATTATTGTATTTCAGTGTACCGGTAACACCATGTTAAAAAATAGTAATACTAAATAAACTTGTTGTTGTTGTTGCATTCTTTGTATTTCCTTTATCTTTCCACTTTCAAGTGCAATATCCTATAAATGCGATATCACAGCGACGTCAGTCATTAAATCGACAGATGATGACAATAGAGGGTCCTTTGATAAGGTAGAATTCGTAGCCCTTTAATTGTTGCTATTATATCATTTTATTTAATTCTACTCATGTTTCTAGAAAATTTATTTTAATTAGGGAAATGATCGCCAGGGTGAAATTGTCGAAGAATTTGTTGGGATTTAATTTTAGGGATATTTATCCATTTGTCGTTTTATTGTTGTTTTGGTTCAGTAGTATTTTAAATGAATAAGATCATTAAACAACATCGATCTAATAGTTAGCATTTCATCATCGATTTGTATATATTTACGTTTTACTAACATTTCAACGTCCTCCAAAATGTTTTATCCTCAACGAACTATTTCATTAAGGAGGCTGACGACCACCACACCCTTTATCCTAAAATTGAATGACGAATAGTTTCAAAACCCTCGTTAAGAGCTTGCTGCGTTGGCAAGTTTTTAAGACTAAAAGGCTCTTCATATTCAATTCTACTTTCTAAGCCAAACTTTTCTTATTTCCTCAACCTTCAGTGAACTAGAATTTCAAACTGTAGTTTGGCATAAATTTTCAACCTAGCGAGTTGCATCTTGTTCGGAATCTTGTATTGTATTCAACTCTTCAGGACTTTTCAATTTCTCAAATTTTTTGCACGAACAAAGAAACCGTACTTAATTTACTTAATTAATTAATTTACTTAATTTTTTTCGGTTCGGTGCAGCTGCAAAGTTCCTACTTTTCGCCTAAACGACGGTATTTGTCTGTGGGAACATTCTCTCTATCGTCTGCACTAAATAGAGCTCAGCTGAGAGCTGCAGTGCTTGTAAACACTTAGTCACTTGAATTTCCACCCTTGAGCTGAACCGACTATCAAGAATACTGGAAGCTTAACTGACAACCGTACGTCCTACTTTGAACCCACTTTAACGATCTGTCCCGTAGAAAAATTGTCTAGATATTTAAACAGATTTCTCCAATCCTGAGTATCAGATGAAATATGTGGACAGCAGTGAAGAGTGATATGTTAGCTCGGAATGTTAACCTCGGTTTATCTGTCAACTCGTGCCCTTCCCAGGGGAATTCTTATTGATTTTTCATAGCAGTAACAGTTGTATTAGTTGGGAACAAAAACCCAGAAAGGTAAAGAAAAGAGTGATAACACAATTCACCCAGAAATTGGCATACTCCTCGTCAAACTACCCCATTCCATACACTCTAGGCCACGTAAGAAAGGCTATATGTAACCCGCAAAGGATACGCGAGGACAAACTGGTCAGTGTGTACGTACTCTTATCATAGTTAGTAGAGGAGACTAATTAGGAAACCCGGCAAACATCAAAGTTGAAAACAATGGTGCTGTAGGTTATGTTGGAAGCACCCTGACCGTGCTCAATCCTTTGTTTTCTTTTCACAAATTATCAATGAAGAAATTCATGCAATGTTTCTATTGGTCAAAAACTTCCAAACGATAGGAATGCTATTGAACGTTGTGCACGGTCAGGTCCAAAAAGCCAACAAAAACCTATAACAAAGGGTTTCCCAACCATTCCACTTTAATTAACTACGCTCTTATAGAGGAACAA